GAGGGAAGGTTTAAGTTGGACATCAGGAGGTGCTACTTCACCGTCAGGGCGGCTAGGGTCTGGAACCAGCTTCCAAGTGAGGTGGTGCAGGCTCCCACCCTGGGGGTTTTTAAGAGGAAGTTGGATGACCACCTTACTGGGGTCGTTTGACCCCAGTGCTCTTCCTGCCATGGCAGGGGGTCGGACAAGATGATCTTCTCAGGTCCCTTCCGACCCTAGAAACTATGAAACTATGACCTAGGACAATGTCATTTTATATATATAAATCAAGAACCATTCAACACTAGAAATATAGGGAATACAGAGTTTGCTTTGTGCTTTTCTTACAAAGGTACCTAAACTATTTAAATTTTGCCTGTATGGAGGTACTACTTCATTATTTTTTCTATTGCTGTAGAGTAGGGGTGTCAAACATAGGACCTGTGGGCTGGATCTGGCCTATAAAGCCACTCTGGTCTGGTGGGCTGCCACCAAAAGCTGGGGACAGTGAGGGCTGCCGTGCTGTGCAATTCAGGGTCCTCTGAACCTGCTGGCCATGGCCATTAGCAACAAGCTTGGGTTCTTGCCACCAGACCCTTCCCACTGCTAGTGGACCTTCACTGCCAGACCCCTTGCCACCAGCGGGGGGCAAGGCCACTAGACAGTCGGAGGTGTCTGTGTGGGAGGAGGCCCAGCCATGATAAGCTTTCAAAAATGGCATCCAGTCCCATGATCTGCCTGCAAAATTGGCCAGCTGCCTCCTCGAGTTGGGGAGTTGCCTAGGTATGGATGACTAGTGCTTAGTTCACACGTACCATTGTATCAGTATTACTTCTGTGTATAGGCAAGCCCTGCTCTTATCTTCCTTGAATGAAGTTCAGAAAATAATAGGAATAGCAACTGGAATATTAATTAAAACTGGAAAATTTTGATAACCTAGTTGGGAATCAACACTCTTTAATTCACCAAAAACAGTTCTAATGTTTTTTGGTCTGATGCTGAATTTATCCCTTTCTTAAATTTATTCTCTTCTGGGAGTGTCTGTGTTTATTGAGAAGTAGACTAATTCACTCCACAGTAAATTTCTTGTGTCTGTACATGCGGCCCTGTTAGGAAACTAAGTAACTCCATAGCAGGGCAGTACTTACAAATATAAGTATTATCCTGTTGCAGAGTGTTTTACTGTGCAGCAGTCCACATATAGATGCTGATGTGGCTGGTTGGGGCATGAGGATGCTCCAATGCAGGGGCTTTCTGCTGGATAGCTCCACCTCGGAGCACCCTTGTGCCCTGCCCCCCCCCAGTAAGTTGAGCTGGGTCTGAGCAACCCCGAGCTATCAGGCTGACCCCTTGGGCCCCTTGCCACCTGGGGCTGCTCCACCTCAACTCAGTGTGCTGTGGTCCCAGGCATATGAGCAAATGATGCACCCGGGAGCAATAAACTCTGGCACAATAAGCACCAGAACTTATTGCTCCACATTAATTGCACTTACAGACACACCCAGTGATAACTAAAGTTTAGCAAAATTTACTCTAAAGTAAAATGATGCTGCCTTGAGAAGGGGGCTGCACCAGATGACCACATGAGGTCATTTCCAGCCCTACTTTCTTATGAACTAAAGCAAAATATTGAAAGATACTGGTGAGTACAGAGGGGAAGAGAGATTTTAATGTGAAACTTGCTAACTGGCTGCTCCTGAGTTAATGTGTGTGTGTGTATTATATTTCTTATTACAACCAGAATATGTGGCTGTCAACAGATATTTACTGGAATATCAGTTTTACAACTAGATCTTACATCCCAAATAAGATTTTTGTGTTTTGTTTTGATTTCAGGAGCAAGTCTACACATCAGTGTTTTAAAATGATGAGCCAAGTAATTTTTCAGTTGGAATAGAAACTGTAGAAAGGAGTTTTTCCATTGTGCTCTGCAGTATACCAAATGGCATACTTCACTTCTGAGACAGTAGTCTTTATTTCTGTTTGTGGAACACCAGTGAATAATTTTTGTAGAATTAACACTCATGCCTATTTTTTCATGTGTAAAAGAATCAAAACAGAGTCCTCTTTTGCAAGGTTTTCTACTTATGGTAGTAGTCTGTACTTACAGTTTTCAAAATAATCTTAACTTTGGAGAGAGGTGCTACAGATCACACTGCACTCTCCCTGTGCTGCTGTAGGAATGAGTGCCAAAGGTGGCTGGTTCGTAGTACCCATCTCTCTCTGACACAAATTGGCTCGCCTTGCTTCGTAGCCCAGCAAGATTGCTGACCGCTGCTCTACAAAATCCTAGCAGATGGCTATGGGGATTGCCACTGTCCTTCAGTGATCTCCTTTTTTACCTTGAATTGCTTTGTCTGTATGGAAGTGGAAGTAGTGCCAGTAAAACTGATGGTCATAATTTTTCATTTATTTATTTATTAAATACTAGATGGAAACAGTGATATCCACTATTTGTATTTCTAGGAATGACTGCCTAACATAACCCCTTGCACAGAATTAAGACCTCTCCCCTCCCCCCCGCACAGTGCACAGCCCCTTCCCCTCTGCCCCTCTTCCCCATAACAGTAGCATCTGTAGGGTGCTCAGGGCCCACTGCCAGTAGAGCTCCCCCGCAGCATGACGTGGCCCCGGTCACCTCAGGCCCAGCACCACCTACGCTACATGGCATGGGCCCGGCTTAGGGGCATGTTCCTTTGGGCAGCACCAGGGCACTCTTGCTGCCACCCGGCATCCCAGCACTGCACACAGGCTGGGCTGAGTCCTGCCTCCAAAAACTGTCTTCTTCCATGATTAAAATGAAACACTACTATATAGAGAGAGATCAGTTGGGTGATGTGTTATTGGGCTGTTCCTTCCTCGAAACTGGCTTAATGCCTAGTCAGACAGTTTCTCAATATCAAAGCTGACTAAACCTTGAAGTTTTAAAACTTTGAATACCCTTACATTTGAAGAAGTGAAATTCTAGATATTATTAATGCAGTCATTTGTTAGTAATGATTATTATTTGCTGAAAAGTCTATAATTGACTGTTTCAATTCTGATCAAAATAAAAGACTTTGTCACCCATATTTCAATAGCTTGGTGGACTGGGCTGGAAACAAATTCAAAATAGCAAATTTGTCAACAGTTTTTACATGCATTTTTGCATTCTTTTTTTTTTTTCTTCCAGCTTTGATTTTAAAAGAGGTCTTGTTATATTTAATCCCAAATCAAGGCACAGAGAGGATAGTTTTGCAGCTAAGGAAATGGATAGAGATTGTGGAGATCCTGTTTTAGTTCTCATCTCTCCCCTAGGCTTCCTGCTTTTTGCTAAATTACTAACGCCCTCATTTTACAGAAGCACTCAACCTATGTTTAAACACCAGAACAAGTAAACCATTTTTTCCAGAATAGCCGAGCATGTTGAATGCTGACTTGTGAAACTCAGCACCTGTACAGTGGAAACAGTTGAGTGCTGAACCCTTTTTTTAAAGCTCTGGTTCCAATTGTACATACTGAGCACTTGAAAGTCTAATCTTAACCCATCTGTGCCTGTTTTTTCATCAGTAAAATAGTAACATTTTCTTATCTTGTAGGGGGGTTGAGGAAAAACTCCAATACTTTGGTGATGAGCATCATATTAATACTTCCATCAGTACATAGTTACCTAGTCTCTACCATTTATAAACATAGTGAGACTGTAATATTGTTTTAACAACTACAGGTACTGGGAGGCTATTCACAAATGGGATGAAGCACTTCAGTTAACTCCAGAGGATGCTACACTTTATGAGATGAAATCGCAGGTAATTCATGCCAATTATTTATCAATTTAGAAAATCAAAAAGAAAATACTATATTACGTATTGCAGATACTGCATAAAGGTCTGTCATTACTTTTGTATGCTAAAAAAAAAATCACACTTGTGTGTGAATTCCCTAATTTAAACCTTTAAGCAATGTTTCTTGGGTCTTTTCTCCTCCCTCAGCACTGTAAGATATCTTCTATAGGTAGTGAGATTATTGTTGTCCTTTCCAAGCATGACACAATAACAATGTGACCCAGAAATGAATTTAGTCAATTTTAAAATATGAGAGAGAGCAACTTAAGCATTTAACAATTATATTCATCACAGTTATGTTAGCAGACACTCTGGTAGTTAAGGTGTCTGAATCTAACACACAAAATCCATTGTCACTTGCTGAAGAATTAGCTTAATGTAAAAAAAAAAAAACAACATCCATTCACAAAGGCTGCTCCTCTGCTAAACATCATGTCTGTGCTCCACAGTAGTTTAACTAGCAGTGGGCGAGAGGGGCACCATTCC